ACAGACACGCACACAAACATACACACACACACACACACAAAAACACAAACACACACACACACACACACACACACACACACACACACTATGACAATGTGCAGCCATGCACGGTGGGGCGCATCTGGCTGCATTCTTTACATTTCCATCCCACTATAATACCGCAAAGATCTCTTCTTCCTTTCGGGAGACATTTTTCTAAGAGTATGAGACAATAAAAACCACATAATATTATAACGTACACACGGGGAAGGCGTATTACTATTCAGTGCTAGTGAATGGGTCTGTTCCAGCTATGCTGAAGTTCAAAAGCCAGTTGGGATTAAAATTTTATGTGCGAGACACAGTTTAGTACTGGGGTGAAGAGATGCACAGCGTCGGGGGGGGGGTAGAGACGGAGAGGTGGCTTACCTGCCAGAAGTGCGAAGCAGCAGGAGACACCGTGGTCTTTGTTTTTGTCCGAGCAGCAGTAGTTTTCCATGAAGCTGACAAGGACGGCAAGAAGGTAGAAGAAGACGCCGCCTGCCCACACTCCCCGCACGCCATTCATCCAGTCCGCTGAGGAGAGCAACGCAAAGACAGGTTAAGTAATGATAACTGCAATTGTTGCAAGTTGTTTCAGTTTTAGTAAGAGTTTTACGGCACTTGCTTTAGTTTTAGTAAGAGTTTTACTGCACTTGCAACACAATAAGGTCATATGAGCACCAGAAGATTAGAGGTGTTACAAGAGAGTAGCAAACATAAAAAAGAAGAAGAGGAGATAAGGACGATAGATTTTTGACAGGAAAGTAAGGAGCAAACCACATCAGAGCACCCGCCAACCACTCACAGACAGGTTAATGATAACTGCTATTGTTGTAAGTTGATTCAGTTTTAGTAAGAGTTTTACGGCACTTGCTTTAGTTTTAGTAAGAGTTTGACGGCACTTGCAACACAATAAGGTCATATAAGTGCCGAAGATTAGAGGTGTTACAAGAGAGTAACAAACATAATAAAGAAGGAGGGGAGATAAGGACGATAGATGTTTGATAGGAAAGAAGGAGCAAATCACACCAGAGCACCAGCCAACCACCCGCGGACGGAGACTTCACACTTCTCTTCATTTCTGTTCCACGCAGTACAGTAGTGTCAGCGACGATCTTCATTGACTGAAAATCTTTCTCCCCGACAATAGTAAAACAAATTAGGCCTATATACTGTACTACAGATGAAACCTTTAACGTTTAGTTTTAGTAAGA